GTAGGCCGCAGGGTGAGGGACCCCAGCGCAGGGTTGCGTTTCCCCCCGTTGTGAGCGGGGCAGCGCTCCGCGACGCTCCGTCTGATGGTTGTTTCCCTGCACTCATGAGGGGGGACGGGCCGGTTGCCGCCGCCGCCACCGTGCGGCGATGCGGAACGCGATGGCGGTTGTGCTCCTCCCGGGGACCTGGTGCCGCCGTGCCCATCCGCCCTGCCTCCTGCCCAGTCGTATTTTCGGGCCGTTCCCGTGAAGTTGCCCGTCCTTGCGTGCTTCCGGGTGGCTGTGCTGGGGAGGGAGGTGCCAGGAGCAGCGCTCCGTTCGCGGGCGGCCGGGGCCGGTGTGAGAGGGCTGGCGGGACTGCCTTGCGTCTTGTGCAATAGTAAACGCCTAAACCAAGCACCAATCTTTACGAATCTTGAGGTTCTTTTGCAAGCAATAATTACCAGTGAAAGACTTGTTAACTGATAATTCAGCTCGCTGTGCCCTTCATTCTAATTTGTTTGTATTTTTGTCTCTTAGGCTTTACATAGCATCAGTGAAGGTAAAAACTGACTTTCTAACCTGACTTACTAAACTGTGTCCAGAGCCTTTTTGTGAGGAGTCTTGGCACGAAGATGAGTACCATCAACTCACAGTAAGCTTCTGTTGTCTGTAGCGCTATCCGGTTCTATCATATCAGATAGCAAGTCTTTTGTATGTATGGAATGCGTTAAGAAAAACTCATATCATCATTTGTATTTTCTTCAGGTTCTTATGATAATCATACTTGCTTTCATGTATATGTAGATTGCCAGTGCAAAGAGAGAAATTGAACATTTATTCACAAGTGTTTTTAAAGGCAGAAAACATACAAAGGATTCATTAGTTTTTCTTTAAATACTTAAGAGAAGTGGTTCTAGCCCTTTTATTAGAGTGCGTTGATTGGGATAACCAAATCTTCAAACTGGTTGGTATTTGCAATAAAAGTAGTGAGATGTTTTGAGAATACTGTAGGAGTGATATTTTTATAGAGTTTTATAACAAATCTCTGGTGTATTTAATGACTGGACAGAACAGCTTACCTTAATAAAGTCTGTGTTGAAATTCTTAAGTATATTGCTCTCTAACACAGATTTTCCTGTCTCATTCAGGGATGATGAAGATAGCTTTAAAATACTCATTGCTACTGATATTCATCTTGGCTATTTGGAGAAAGATCCAGTGCGTGGAAATGATACATTTGTAACTTTTAATGAAATTCTGGACCATGCTCAAAAAAATGAAGTAAGTACTGCTTTCTTGAAACTAAAAGGGTAAGACTGTGGAAAATACGTTCCAACCTGCCAGAAGCTATAAAGCTTAGTCCTGGTGCCATCTTCAGTAATATCAAAATGACTAAACTACTGCAACCAGTTATGTTTCTGCTTTAGTAAAAGGAACGCTTATTCTTTTGTGAGAGTGTTCTTATTAAATTATGACCCTGGTTGCATTAACGATGTTTTCTAGAGAGGGTTTGGCACTGCAAGAGGGGCAATTAAATGGAGAGAGTGCAAGTAATGATACAAAGTCTTCAGACCACTCAAAAAGTAGGAAGAAAAGTTAGAAACTTCTAAAGTGTTGTTAAAGTGTTGAGTCGCTGAGGCGAGCAGCTCTGATGCTGACATGGTCAGCAGTGGAGCACTCCAGCCCATCAGGTTTCCCGAGCCAGGGAACCACCAGGAGGCAATGGCAATGGCCTGGCAGAAAGCCGTGGCCTCTCTGAGCTCTGCACCCACCAGGACTGATGCAGCTGCCCAGCCAGAGCTGCGGCGGGAACACGCTGCCACCCCGGTGCCACGCTGCGGCCTAGGCCCTGCTCCGATGCTGGGCCGGGCCGGTGGCAGCCAGCAGAGGTGTGGGAGGTGGGTCCAGGAAGAGGAGCTCCTCTGCTCCATGGCAGAGCTCGGGAGGGGGTGAGTAGGCTGAGGAGTATCAGGGAGTGCGAGAGAGATAGACTGCTGGGACCACAGCCCGCCTTCCCCGGGACAGGCCCGACAGGCGACAGGAGGCGTGATGCGGAGGGTTCCCGTCCTCTCTCCGCCTGGCTGAGCACAGGGGCTTAAGGGACAGGGGGCAATGGCGAGGAGTTCCTGCCCCTCCCCACATGTCCTGGCATAATAGGCATGAGGCTCTGCAGGCAGGACCGAACAGTGATGAGGATAAGGTTAAGTCAACCTATGCCTTGCAGCAAAACTGCTTCTGTAAAAAAAAAAAAAAAAGGTGGGTCACTGTCATAGGGGATCCCTTCTGAAGGGAACAGAAGCCCCAATATGCCCACCAGAGCCACTTCTAAGAGAAGTCTGCTGCCTCCCTGGGGCCCATGTTAAAGATGCAAAGAGAAAGCTTCCTACCCTGTTACAGCCCTCAGATTATTATCCATTATTGATTTTTCAGGTGGGCAGTGATGAAGGTGCAGCAAGAAGTCTGAGTGCAATGGAGACTCCAGGGCCTTGGGACAACTGGTTAAGGGGTCAGGAGCACAAGCAGTGTTCTCCTCTATCCTTCCAGTTGCAGGGAATAATGAGGGAAGAAACAGGAAGAGCCAGCAAATGGATACCTGGTTCTGAGCCTGGTGTCACTGGCAGAATTTTGGGGGGGTTTTGATAATGGGTCAGTTTATATGATACCAAACCTGCTGGCAACAGATGGGGTACAACTGTCTCAAAGGGGGAAAAGGATATTTTCACAGGAGTTAGCAGGGCTCATGGCAAGAGCTTTAAGCTAGATTTGAAAAGGAAAAGGGATAAACCAGGCTCACTAGAGATAAGTCTGGGGAGAGTATGCCGATGCTTGAGGGACAGTGTGCCAGCAAGGTCTTTCAGTCTGCTGTCTTGGTGGAGGTAGGGGATGGAGATCCATGCAGCAGCAAAGAGGCAAGGGTTATAGATGTGTTAGAAACCATGGAAGTGCCTGAGAATGGCCAGGACCTGAATGGTCCTTTTCAGCCTAAATGAGCCTATGATTCTATTTGATGATTATGTTTTTAAGGATTTAATGTTTCATAGTCAAATTATTTGTAATTTTTTTCCTAATGGTTCTTCAAAAACTAAATTTATGAAAGAGCTGGCAACTAGTAGCTTCTCAAAGTACTGTGGCAATAGCTACTGATTTCTTCCCACTCGGTGCCACAGCAATGAAAGATAATGTCTCCTCATGCCTGTCAAAGAAAATGTTCAGGAGCCAATCTGGAGACCATTATTAAAACACTTCATTGGTATATAGTATCAGTTGTTTTCTCCTATAGCTCTTCATAAATGGGTCTTTTGGGGTTTGGTTTTAATGAATCATTAATGTTTGTTTCATGAGGAAATTAAATACCATATCTGCAACTACCATCTCATTTTAGCTAGAAGTCCAGACAGGAGGGGATATGTGGAACTCCTTAGAAGAAATAGTTTAAACAATTTGCTTAGAAGTCTTTCAAGGTAATACAAAATGTTATATTAAAATAATAGAGCTTTTTGTTACATACAGGTGGACTTTATTTTATTAGGTGGGGACCTGTTTCATGACAACAAACCTTCCAGAAAAACAGTACACTCTTGTTTGGAGTCACTAAGAAAATACTGCATGGGTGATCGTCCTGTTCAGTTTGAAATTTTGAGTGATCAGGCAGTTAATTTTCATTATAGCAAGTAAGTATGTTCCTATAAATTATGGTGTAAGTATTGATTTGCACACCAGGTGAATGTGTTGTGATTTTTTTTTTTTTTTTTTTTTTTTTTCGAACCTTGGAAGTTTTAGTCCTGTTTGTGTGGGACAGTTTACAGGATGACTTCACCTCTCATCTTTTATGATCTTAAGTCTGTAAAGGAATACACACAATTTTTTGAGAATCTTTTGAATGTGTTGTAACATTTAATACATTTGTGTAACGTACAGTTTCTATCCTGCAAGTACAGTGCCAGTAAACTAATTTACATGAATTGCTGTGGTAAAATCAGCAGTTCTTTGTGTGTAAGCACAGCCCAGTCTGCTGCTCTTGCATGTACAACACGACATGTTGTACAATTCTTTTCATAGGCTTGCTCTAAAAAAATAGGATCGTTTTGCTACCCTGTTCCCAGTGGGAAGTGCCATTCCAGTTCATGAATAAGAATCTTCCTACATTGTGCAGCTTAAGCTTATTCATAGCCACTTAGTACTCATTTGCACTGCTATCACGATGTATTTGTGATGATGTTAATTTGAGGAGAAGACTGGGAATTATCCACAAATTTGCATGTATGGTTTAACTTTTTTCTTATTCTTTTTTAGGTTTCCATGGGTGAATTATCAGGATAGAAATCTCAACATTTCTATTCCAATTTTTAGTATTCATGGCAATCATGATGATCCTACAGGGGTAATTATTGTCATAATTGTATTCTACTGTTATGTTGCAAAAATAATATTCTAGAAATAGAGACTTGTATAGAATTACAGTTCTTGGAGAACAGGCTAGTTTTAGTCAGTTGCTCCACTCTTCACTTAAATTATTTTGTGTATCTTTACAAATTCAGTTAAGTAGTGACAACAAGTGTGACATGAAAAAAAGAGAATGGAAAGAAGTTAAAGGATCCATATGAACTATGTTTAAATTCTTAATTTATGTAGATTTCTGTCATTGATAACAGAATCATTTTTCATGCCAAGAAATGTCAGCCTTTCAGAAAGTTTCTACAAATTTATCAGCAGAGCCTGAAACCTTTTTTCTTAAAGAAGGGGAATTTTGATACTTCGACTTGTGCACATGCAATTGATATGCATCTTACATTTTCAAGGAAGATAACCTTATAATGGTGAAATACTAGTTTAAAAAAATCAACAACTAAAAGCAGGAAAAGAACATAAAACAGGAAAGCATGTGTGTTGAAAATTGTGCATTTATATCAAACAGCAGTGTATCATGGAGATGAGTGTTTTAACAACAGAAGTTTAACTTTGGACCTACTATGAAGCATTAGTTAGCTTAACCAGATCATTTTCTGTAATAGTTTAGAGACTTTGGCTCTTTCTTTGGTTTGTTTTTATTTTTCTGAATGATTTAATTTTTAATTTCCTGTTGTTCAAAGGAAGTAAGACTTGTAAGGAAAAAGGATTTGATTCTGTACCCATGAATGCTAAAAAAAAAAAGCTAATATATGTGGTGGGGTTTTTCAACTGCAGAAGTTAATCAAGGAAAGATATTCACCCTCCCTTTTGAGACTGTTTCACTTATACTTTAAAGACTAAATGTTCTGTTCAAAGTTTTGATACTTGTTTTTCAATATTTTCTACAGGCAGATGCACTATGTGCATTGGATATTTTAAACTGTGCGGGATTGTTGAATCACTTTGGACGTTCAACTTCTGTGGAGAAAATAGATATTAGTCCCATTTTATTGCGTAAGGGTAGAACAAAAATTGCTCTGTATGGTTTGGGTAAGTGTGCTAGACTGATCATTTATTACTGAAGCTCAAGAGGTCTAAATTAAGTTGAAACAAAGGTATAGTGCTGCAACAAACATGAAGGTCTGAGGAATGCTAAATGTATCAATTCTGTAACAGATTTCTTCTCATGCTGTGTTGTTACTGGCTGACAGGTTTTTTTCTTTGCTTTTTTTAATTTTAAAAGAAATCCTTCATTAACTTTATTTCTGTACTTTTATTGGTCTTAAATTAATCCTGCTTACATTAGCCATAGATAGTGCCTGTGTATCAAATCAGGGCAATCAGACTCTCAAATTCTCACTGTTGTATATTAAGCTTATTTCCTCCTGTTTAGGTAAAACTTAAATACGGTATGTTCAGGTGCTGTTTTGTTTATATTTAAAAACATAAACTGATCAGAAACCTAATGTCTGACACATCTGTGAAATGATTCATAAGTGGCGTCCGTCACAGGTAACCTCAGTTTCTTTAAAGAAACTTAGGAAGCATTTCATATTGTAAAGGTGTTCTATGGTGGGTTTTCAACTTTGGTTTGTCCCTTTCTATTTTCTCCTCCACCTTCCACTTTAACCTCACTTCTTAGAATGTTTATGTTCAACTGCTTTCTGGCTAGAGAAGTTAACTATTAAGATCTTAGATCTTACTTTTTCCTCCTTATTTTTCTATAATCATGCCTCAGACTTCTTAGGTCGTGAAAATTAAGATCTTGCCACAAAGTTGTGTTCTTCATGCTCTTTTTAATAGAGTTGCTAATAAAATTGCTATAAAGTAAAGAGTTGTTTTACCACATAAAAATGATTTAATGTTTTGTTTTGTCCACTACAGGAGCTATTCCAGATGAGAGGTTGTATCGTATGTTTGTCAATAAACAAGTAACCATGCTGAGACCAAAGGAAGATGAAGATAGTTGGTTTAACTTGTTTGTGATTCATCAAAATAGGTGACTTTTTAATTTACTGTATTACTTCATTAAAGTGCCTTGAAAAGAACAGGTGAGAAAGCCACACATGCTAGTTGGTGCTTCCTGTGAGTACCTGGTTTCTTAAGATTTTCCCAAATGAAAGCATTGTTTTACAGTTCTTCTTACAGAAGAATCATAAATAAAAAAATTGAAATAAATGAGTTAAGAATGTTGGGAAATCTCTTCCCAAACTACTGTAGCTAGGAGCAGTGAAGGTTTCATAGTGTAATATGCATATAATTGTCTTGTCTGCTTGTTAGAGCTGAAAAAGCATTAAACTTCATATATTTTTCTATCCTTGAACCATAATTTGACAAGTACCATATATCTTCCCTTGCAGTTCTATACTTTATAGTTTCCCCTGAGTAGGATAGGTAGCATGTGTTCTCTCTTCTCACACACTTCTGCCAGCAGTGTTAGCAGGAACAGGCAGAATTCTTGTCCAAATATTTTTTTTTTTTTTTATAATTTTTCCTGAGCAAGAGTGCAGTCCTCATGTGCAAGTAACATTGAGGCAGAGGTTAACTAATACAGCTCAGATAATGCTGTATACTGATCTCTGTCTGGTAGGCTGAAGGAGCTCGCTCCTCCATCTCCCCTGTCGTTTGGAAAGGATTGGGGGAAGGTGTGTCCTATGTCTGTTTAATTCATTGGGTTTTACCCCACCACTTTAAAAAAAAAAAAAAAAAAAAAAAAAAAAAAA